TTCTCCTCTCTCCTCTCTCCTCTTTTTTCTCCTCTCTCCTCTCTCCTCTTTTTTCTCCTCTCTCCTCTCTCCTCTCTCCTCTCTCCTCTCTCTCCTCTCTCTCCTCTCTCTCCTCTCTCTCCTCTCTCTCCTCTCTCCTCTCTCCTCTCTCCTCTCTCTCCTCTCTCTCCTCTCTCTCCTCTCTCTCCTCTCTCTCCTCTCTCTCCTCTCTCTCCTCTCTCTCCTCTCTCTCCTCTCTCTCCTCTCGCTCCTCTCTCTCCTCTCTCTCCTCTCTCTCCTCTCTCTCCTCTCTCTCCTCTCTCTCTCTCTCTCTCCTCGTCTCCTGTCGTTTTCTGTCGTCTCCTCTCGTCTCCTCTCGTCTCCTCTTGTCTCCTCTCGTCTCCTCTCGTCTCTCTCTCTCTCTCTCCTCGTCTCCTCTCGTCTCCTCTCGTCTCCTCTCGTCTCCTCTCGTCTCCTCTCGTCTCCTCTCGTCTCCTCTCGTCTCCTCTCGTCTCCTGCGAGTCTCCTCTCGTCTCCTCTCGTCTCCTCTCGTCTCCTCTCGTCTCCTCTCGTCTCCTCTCGTCTCCTCTCGTCTCCTCTCGTCTCCTCTCGTCTCCTCTCGTCTCCTCTCGTCTCCTCTCGTCTCCTCTCGTCTCCTCTCGTCTCCTCTCGTCTCCTCTCGTCTCCTCTCGTCTCCTCTCGTCTCCTCTCGTCTCCTCTCGTCTCCTCTCGTCTCCTCTCGTCTCGCTCTCTCGTCTCCTCTCGTCTCGCTCTCTCGTCTCCTCTCGTCTCGCTCTCTCGTCTCCTCTCGTCTCGCTCTCTCGTCTCCTCTCGTCTCGCTCTCTCGTCTCCTCTCGTCTCGCTCTCTCGTCTCCTCTCTCTCCTCTCTCTTCTCTCTCTTCTCTCTCCTTTCTTTCCTTGCTCTCCTCGCTCTCCTCTCTCTCCTCTCTCTCCTCTCTCTCCTCTCTCTCCTCTCTCTCCTCCCTCTCCTCTGTCTTCCCTCTCTTCTCTCTCTTCTCTCCTCTCTTTCCTCTCTCTCCTCGCTCTCCTCTCTGTTCTCTCTCCTCTCTCTCCTCTCTCTCTCCTCTCTCTCCTCACTCTCTCCTCTCTCTCCTCTCTCTCCTCTCTCTTCTCTCTCTTCTCTATCTTCTCTCTCTTGCTCTCTCTTCTATCTCTCTTCTCTTTCTCCTCTTTCTCCTCTGTCTCCTCTCTCTCCTCTCTCTCCTCTCTCTCCTCTCTCTCCTCTCTTTCTCTCTCTCTCTCTCTCCCCTTTTCTCCTCTCTCTCTCTCTCGCCTCTCTCTCTCCTCTCTCTCCTCTCTCTCTTCTCTCTAAACAAGCCTAAACCAACCCCAAACCAACCATAAACTCACCCTCCACCAACCCGAAATGCACCCAACACCCAAGCCAACCCTAAACCAGGCCTAAACACCCTGAACCAACCCCAAACCCGCCCCAAACCCACCCAAAGCCAGCGTGGCCGCTGACACAGGTAGTTTTTTCTTTCTATGATTGCCAAATTTCACTGTCAAGCAAAATGCCTCAAAGGGCGTCTTGCAAGAGGCTCCTCTTGAGATTCCTCTACAACCACATGGGCGTGTCTTTTTTCGTGGGTGCCCTTTGTGTGGCTTTTACCGCAAGACCAAAAGGAAAACCCGAAGCAATTTTGGGGGTGTCCCCCCAAAAGACAGAGGCCCATTCTTCGCTCCCTCTCGCTGATCCGCCGCTCACGAGGACCCCCACGCCCCCGCAGACCCCCTCGCGGCGCCGCACGTTGGCAGCGCTGCTGGGGGGTGTGGAGACCACGGCACTGCGGGCAGAGGCGCCGAGCAGAAGTCCATCACTTGAACCCCAAGCATCCGGTTTCTTAGGTCTTTTTGTGATTTTTCCGTTGGTAAAAATTGGTATTTTCTTCCATTGAACCCACTAATCTAGGACACTGTTTGGATGTGGCTTTTGCGGATCTTCGCCTGTAGAATATTAAAAGAGTACTCAAAGAGTACTAAAAAAGGACTAACAGGGGGAAGAGCAGGTAAAATCCACAAACAGCGCATCCAAACCGTTTTCCAGAACTAAAAGTTAGAGTTTTAGCAGGACAGTTGAGGACAGCCCAGTTGAGAGTCAGTCATTTAATGCGGTAATAATGTGTTTTTGAGGGTCTTTTTTGGTGGTAAGGGGAAACCAAAAGCTTGAAAAAAAACGCACCCAAATTAGTTACCGAGCAAATGACTTGGCATCAACTCAAAAAGGTAGGGAGGTGCCATGTAAATGATGTCTGCGGAACAAATATCGCCAAGGGACGGAGCCCATGGAATCGTATGTGTGTAGCACGGGCCCAGCATGGTTTCCGAAAGGTTGCTAAGCCTCGGCTTTGAATCCCCTTCAAAAAGGCACGGGGATGGGAATAGCTACGGCGAGGACCCTAGGTCTCATGAACAGTAGTTCTTCCGCCAATTCACATCGAGTCTCCCTTGGCCTCGGGGGCATGAGTGCGGCCCCGCCAACGTCTGAACGACCGCTTGTCCGTACCTTTGGAACCGGCGGTGCATCTTTTCATTCGAATCTTCGCAGAGAGGGCACCTCCTAGGTTGGCTGATTGACGTTTTCTTCGAGCCGACCTTGGAACCCGGTCCAAGCCTCTGGTCGATTTGAATGGAAGGGCTTTCCGGTGTTGCCTGGTGGCTCGAATCGCCAGGGCGCCACTTGGAAGTTTGGGTTGGCTGCGGAACAGCCAGAATGCTGTCCGAAGGCAAAGGGAAATAGCAATTGCTACACCTGGTGGGCGCTCTGCCAGAGGGGGTCGCTAGACCCCTCCGATCCACTGGCAGCTTGCTTGTTGAAAGCCGGCTGTTGAAAAAGGCGGCGTTGGCTCTTCTGGCAGCGTGCCTGTTGAGCACCAACCTTTGGATGGAAGGTTGCTGGTGCTCAGTAGGGAATGACCGTTCCAGGTGCTGGGAATGAGCCACCTAATCGGGGACGGTTCTTTTTGGGGTCATTCCAATTCTCATTCAATGAGCCGGAAGGGGATTCCCGAATACAGGAAA